AGCTCAGTGGTGAAGTCACTCCCGAAGTTCACCATTCGGCCGGGGATTGGACAGCCTCATAAAACAAAACAGGACTAATGAGGCACAGCAGTCCAGGGACAAGGACTGGAAGGTAGGAGGGGACAGGAAAGCTGGTGATAGGGAACCCAAGCTTGAGAAGGGACAGTGTTGACATGTCATGAGGTTGTTAACCATTGTCTTAGGGCAATATGTGTACTGTTTAATGAGAAACGATTTGTTCTGCAAACCTTCATCTAAGGTACAAAAAAAAAAAAGAATTATTTATGTGAGATCAAATTGACAACAGCACCTCAAAAGGTTTGATGGGGAAGCCTAGGGGAGAGTGAGTTGAAGATAATGGTGATGGCATAATTTGGAAAAGGACAGTGAGAATAGCAGCACAACTGGAAGAATGTAATCAATGTTACTGAATTGTACATGTAGAAACTTTCAAAATGGTGTAACTTTGGCTATGTATATTTTCACCAAAAAAAAAAGGTCCTCAAGGCTGAGAAGGGAGACTGTTGACATGTCATGGGATTGTTAACCATGTCATAAAACACTATGTGTACTGACTGTTTAATGAGAAATTATTTGTTCTTTAAATCTTCATCTAAAGTACAATAAAAAAATTTAAAAAAAGAAAAGGATAACAGGATTAGCAATATTATGATAAAAGGAGAAAATACTGAATTTGTCAAGGAGTTCATTTTACTTGGACCCACAATCAACGCCCATGGATGCAGCAGTCAAGAAACCAAATAATGCACTGCACTGGGCAAATATGCTGTAAAAGATCTTTTTAAAGTGTTGAAAAGTAAAAATGTCACCTTGAGGACTAAGGCACACCTGACCCAAGCCATGGTGTTTTCAATCGCCTCATATGCATGTGAAAGCTGGACAATGAATAAGGAAGACCAAAGAAGAACTGATGCCTTTGAATTGTGCAGTTGGCAGAGAATATTGACTATATCATGGACTGCCAGAAGAACGAACAAATCTGTCTTGGAAGAAGTACAGCCAGAATGCTCCTCAGAAGCCAAGGATGGAGAGACTTCATCTCAACACACTTTGGATATGTTAGCAGGAGGGACCAGTCCCTGGAGAAGGACATCATGCTTGGTAAAGTAGAGGGTCAGCGAAAAAGAGGAAAACCCTCAACAAGATGGACTGACACGGTGGCTGCCAACAATGGGCTGAAACATAGCAATGATTGTGAGGATGGTGCAGGACAAGGCAGTGTTTCATCCTGTTGTACATAGGGTCACATGAGTTGGAACTGACTCGACAGCACCTAACAACAATGGGATTTAACCTTAAATGAACAAGTACTTACTAAGTACTCTCTAGGAACTAGGTACTATCCTAGGAGTTGGGTATTCAGCTTTGACCAAGCTGACGAAGTCCCAGGAGCTGATCTTCTGGTGGAAATAAGAGTCACAGTAAGTAAGAGGGAGGGTAGTGGGAGAAGATGTTGGTAAGGTGGACAGGGACTGGTCATGTTGTGCCTTGGTGGCCAAGGGAAGCAGTTCAGATTACATTCCATGTGCCATGGAGAACCACCACTAGGATGCGACATCAATTGATTCACTTTTTTAAAAGGTTGCTAAGGTCGCTGTGTGCAGAGGTCAGAGTAGGGAAACAAGAGTGGAAACAGGGGAGCAGTTAAGAGGCTTCTGCAGAAGGCAAGGTTAAGAGATGCTGGTTACCCGGATTGGGGCTGTAGCAGTGGAGATGGACCCAAAAGAAACCAATGTGACATGTTTTAGAGAAGGAATTGACAAAATTGCTGCTGGCCTGAGGTAAGGAGTGAGGGAAGGAAGAAACAAGGCTGAATCCCAGGTTCTGGCCTTGACTACCTAAGCCATTTACTGGGAAAGATGGGGAGGAGAAGCAAGTATGGGGAAGAACAAAGAAAAATTTCTTTGGGCTATGTTAAGTTTGAGATCTTTAGGTGGATTTCAAGCAGGCAATTGTCTGTTAGACTCTGGAGTTTCAGGTAGAAGTCAGGGGTAGAGATACCAATTTGGGAGTCAGAGGCATCTAGATAATTAGTTGGAAGCCACACAACTGGATGAAATGATTTAGTGGGGATCAGCAAAGGAAACCAGGTTTTAACTAAGGTTGCAGGAAAACCAAGAATGTGGCCCAGACGCCTCAAAAAGTTATTTCTAAGAAGGAGATTCTGGTCTCTTTCTGTCTAGTGTTAATTAATTGTGAACCTTTCTTAACTCTCCTACTAAACAAGAAGATTCAAACGGGCAAGAACGCTTTCTTATTCATCTTGGTACTTTCTGCTCAATTCACATTTACTGATTTAATGATTAGTAAGGGGTCACAACTGCCCCAGAGGGTAGCACTGGGCAGCATTTCATCTTTCTGAATGTATTTCATGGGCTGTAACCAGATTTACTACACAATACTCCTTTCTAATAAATACAGAAAACTCTCACTTAGTCCAAGATTAATCATACCGATTATTTTCTCATTGCCATTTCACCAATGAGAACAAGAACAGTGCTTGGCACATAGCAGATGCTCAATAAATATTTGTTGAAGGAATAGATGGATGAGGCAGACGAGAGGGAAGGGATTGGAAATAGTATTAGTTCTCTTCTCCAACAGTATCTATAGATAAAATTGGCTCAAGAATTCTCTAGAGATTTCATTTAATATTATATTTTCATCGGTAATTAAGACTGACTGTAAGGGAAAAAGATCTTGCATAAGTTTAGAAGAAATCAATAAAAAAGTAGAATCATTTGAGATATTTTGCAATTTGGAAACAGTAAATCAAATCACAATTTGGAAAGAGTAAATCAATATTTTCTAAGTTCAATGTTTTGTGTGTATGTTTTCGGTGAAAGTTTACAGCGCAAATTAGTTTCTCATTCAAAATTTACACACGAATTGTTTTGCGACATGGGTTGCACTCCCTGCATTGTGTCGGCACTCTCCCTTTCTCCCTTTCCACCCCGTTCACTGGGTCCATTTGTCCGGTTTTCCTGTCCTTTCTTGCCTTCTTGTCTTTGCTTTTGGGCTGGTGTTGCCCATTTGGTCTCATATACTTGATTAAGAAGCATATTCCTCACTTGTGTTACTGTTTGTTTTATAGACCTGTCTAATCTTTCGCTGAAGGATGGACTTCAGGAGTGGCTTCAGTTCTGAGTTAGCAGGGTGCCCGGTGTCACTGTTTTTTTTTTAAATAAGTATTTACTCTTGCATGTGTAATATGCCTATAAGCAATCCACTTTACACACAAAAAAATGACAAACCCTTCCAAAGCCCGCTAGAGGCTTCAGGAATGAGAAAACAAAATTTAAAAGAAAGACTGTTTGAAAGTAGATTCCATTTTTAGTGCAAAACATTTTTTAAGAGAAGCCCCGGTACTGATTTCAAATATTCCCTATAAACATGCCAACATCCAAATAACAAAAGGCAGAAATGTAGGGGGCTTGACAATAGAATGAACTTTCACTACGTATCATTTTTCTATTAAAAACCCTCCAACTGAAATTCTGAAATACCTGAGGCACCATAACCACCAGAATGCCGCGGAGACTTCGAACCGGACGGAGAAGCTTCCTTCATTCGATCAATCACGTTTTCCGAAAGCTGAAAAAGCAACATCAAAATAAAATCAATTACGAAAGAACAAGGGGGGAAAGAAAAAAACTGTACAATAACATCCAAGTAATTTAGTCATCCGTATCACTATATATAATGAATGCCCTCAAGAAATGCGGTTGAATCTAACAGCTATAAAACTAAAAGCAAGTAAAAATAGTTTTAAGATTTCAAGATGCACCCCACAGCACTACTCCTTTCTTTCTTCTAATGCACTGCTAATTGCTCATTATAAATAACTGTGCTCATTTTATACTGTGCACCACACTGTAATCGCTGAGAAAACATAAGCCATCCGAACTCCTTCAACTTTCTTCTCCTGACCCCACAAACTTAATCACGCATGCAACAGGCCTTAGTTCCTTCCCACCAATCCCAAAGGAAACGGTGTTCCTCCTTCCCACCCGTTGAAGGCTAACCACAATCACTCTTTCAACACCAAGCATGACAGGAACTAGGCTGCTATTGCTGGTTGGCATATGTGAGTGTGTTGTTGCTGCTACTGTGCAATGCTTTCCAACCTAACGTGCTCATCTTCCAGCACCATATCAGACAATATTCTATTGTGGTCCATAGTGTTTTCATTGGCTAATTTTCTGAAACAGATTGCCAGACCGTTCTTCCTAGTCTGTCTTAGTCTGGAAGTGCCCCTGAAATCTGTCTACCGTTGAGTGTGACCCTGCTGGTATCTGAAACACCGGTGGCATAGCCTCCAGCATCATAGCAACACACAAGCCACCACAGTACGACACAGGGACAGACGGTGATCTAGGCTAAACTTGGGTATTCAACAGTCATCAAGTTACTTAAAGCAGCGTGGCAGAAACAGACAATCATCAGGCATTTAAATACAATGACTTAAGGTATGTCAGCCTATAATGGGAGTACAGAAAGCATGAAGGGTGGGGTATCTGACCAGGCTTTGGAGCTGGGGTGCAGTTGGGGCTGGAGCAGAGGGTCAGGGAAAACTTACAAGGGAAGAACGAACAGGAGTTAGGAAGAGAGGGTGCAAAGTAAGACTGCTCCAGGGAGAAGGAAGCACGTTACGGCACAGATAACAAACATGGCTTGCCACTCGTAGACATGCAGGTGGAGACATCAAGTAGCAGCTGGCAACAGGGCGGAGGCTCTGGGGAACACGCAGGGCTGGAGATCTGAGGGTCACCAGCCCCCCAACTACTTCACATCATCCTGTTTTCTTTACAGTACTTACACCTATCTGATGTATCTTGTTTAAGGTCTTGCCTTTCATGCTGTCCTGTTACTATATCCTCAGAGCCTCATTACACCTGACTGAATGAATGAATGAAGCACAATATTAGAGAGAGGCATAATGAAAGAAAAGGTGGAGAAGGAAAGGAGATTTTGGATTCTGAAAACTTCTTAGCAAACCCTTCAAGTTCCAGAGTATCAACTTGATCCTAAGGGCAAATGGGCACTAAAAAAACCAAACCAAACCCACCGCTGTAGAGTCGATTCTGACTCACAGCGACCCTACAGAATAGAGCAAAACTGCCCCATAGGGATTCCAAGGCTGTAATCTTTACAGAAACAGACTGCCACATCTTTCTCCTGCTGAGCAGGCTGGTGGGTTCAAACTACTGACCTTTCAGTTAGCAGCCAAGTGCTTAACCACTGTGCCACCGAAAAAAAAACAAACCCGTTGCCATCGAGTCGATTCATAGGACAGAGCAGAACCGCCCCAAAGAGTTTCCAAGGAGTGGCTGGTGGATTCAAACTGCTGACCTTTCTGGTTAGCAGCCGTAGCACTTAACTGCGCCACCAGAGCTCCTTAACTGAGTGGTACGGAAGAATATTAAGCAGGGTAAGGATATGACCAGATTGACACTTTAGAAGGATCACTCTAGTTACAGTGTCACAAACAGATGGGAGGGGGACAGGCACAGAAACAGGACCCCTGAAGGAGGCTAAAGGAACAATTAAGAGGCTATTAAGCATACATCCACACAAAGACTTGCACAAAAATGTTCCAGCAGCTTTATTCATAATATCCAAAACGCGGAAACAAGCAAATGTTCATCAACTGGTGACTGGATAAACAAGATGTTATCTATCCATACCACAGAATTCAGCAACAAAGAAGAATGTAATTCTGACAATTGCTACAACATGGACAGACAGAAAAATCATTACGCTAAGTGAAAGAAGCCAGACACAAAAAGTCACTTATTGTATGAAACCTTCCATGTGAAACGCCCAGAAATGGCAACTCTATACAGACAGCGATTAAGGGCTTGACTGCTAATCAAATGTCAGCGGTTCGAACCCACCAGCGCCTCCACAGGAGAAAAATGTGGCAGTCCATTTCAGTAAAGATTACAGCCTTGGAAACCCTATGGGGCAGTTCTACCCTGTCCTATAGGGTCACTATGACTCGGAATCGACTCAATGGCAACGGGTTTATAGAGGAAGAAAGTAGACGAGCGGTTACCAGGGTATGAAGTGGGAATGGGATTAACTATAAACGGGCAGAGGAACCTGACTGGAGTGACAAAAATATTTTAAACCAGGTTGTGGTGATAGTTACACAACTCGATAAATTTACTAAAAAGCATTGACTTGTACACTTAAAATGGATTAATTTTAGGTTATGTAAATTGTATCTCAATCACGTTAGTCTATTTGCTTGTTTTCCGTTAAACAAAAAAACTACATGGTAATCCAGGAGAGACCACGTCCAAAAGACACTTAAGATTGAAAATAACTAGCACCTACTGAGTGCTCACTGCGTCCCACGCACTATGCCACTCCAGGCACTTTATTCATTTAATCCTTAACCAATCCTGTGAGGTAGACACCTTCATTACTCCACTTTACAGGTGAGGAAACTGAAGCATAGGCAGATTAATTAAACCACTTGCCCTGCAGCAGACACTGATCAGTAGCAGACCCAGGATTCAAACCGTGCAGTCTGAGTCTCAAGGTCCCCCTCTTAGCCACGCCCCTACACTGCCAGACTCAGAGGGGCTAGAGGTGGGAGTGGAGGAGACGTCCTCAGGAAGGACGCCCGGGTCTGGGTCATCCCCTCCTGCTTCCTCAAGGACTTTCTCCCACAATACTTTCCTTTTAGGCCCGGATTCTCAGCCTCTCCCTCTCTTAGCCTGTAACATCCTCAAATCTTTTCCATATTAACAAAACACACGCACATACCTTCTTTTTCAACAAATTCCTTGTTATTGTCCTCCATCTCTTCTACTATGGTCACATATCTACTTCCGCAGCTCACCACTCTGTGGCTTTTACCCCCAAGACGGGAGTGAAAGTATTCTGATGAAAGTCACCATGACCAGATAATGACACATCTTATTTCTTGGGCTTCCCTTTAGCGCCTGACACCTTCGGCCACTGCCCTCCTTCTGTATACCCCTCCCCTGGCTTTTCTGAGATGCCCCTGTCCTGGCTCTCCTGGAAGTCTGGCCACTGCTTCTCTTCTGCAGGCTTCCCCTTCCCTGCCTATCCTGGATGCAGAGGGCCCCACGCTCTGTTCTTTGCCCTCTTCTCTCCTCACTGCATGTGCTCTTGTTGGTGCTCTCACCTACTCTCTTGAGTTTCAACCACTGTTGATAAATAAATGGATACTAAATCCATTCTCCCCAGCCCAAGACCTGTGACCTGTGAGCTAGACCTACACATCAGCTTGCCTGATGGGCAGCTGCCCTTGGACAGACCACAAGCACCACCAACCTAATGTGTCCTAAACTGAACTCATGTCTTCCAAATCTCTCTTCTTCCCCCTGCTTTCCTTGTCCCCTTATAACACCACCTCTAACCAGTTTCTAAACTAGAACATGGAACTTGTCCTCAACTCCTCTCGTCCTCATTCTGAGTCATGACTTCCTAAATCTCTAAAGATTTAATGAATTCACCATCTCTTCTCCCATCCCATTTTCCCCGCCCTAATGCATGGTATCGACATCAATTGTCCGAAAATGCAAATCTGATTATGGTAACTCCCTGCTTCTAATCCTTCATTTAACAGGAAGGGCAGCACTGGGGGACACAAACTTAAAAACTTGACTGCAAACTGAAAGGTTGGTGGTTTGAACCCAACCAGAGGCACCCTGGAAGAAAGATCGGACAATATACTTCCAAAAGGTCACAGCCTTGAAAACCCTATGGAGCACAGTTCTACTCTGCGACACGAGGTCACCTTGAGTGGCAATCAACTCAACAGCAACTGGTTTGATTTTTAGTTGATTCACAGGAAAAGTCCAAGTTCTTCTGCATGACATTCAAGACTTCCCCATCATTTGCTCATAGCCTAACTCTCCAACCTCAACTTCTATAATATTATTTTCACACTCTGTTCCCCATCCATAACTAGCTGTTTGTTGCCATCTCTTTGCCTTTACACATGCCCACACTGCCTTCTCCCCTGGATCCTAGGAGTCACCTTTTGTGATCCAGTTCAACCATCCCAAAGGCTTCTCTGACCAGACCAGTTCCCCGTTTCATTCCAACACTGCCTACCAAAAGTTATGCCTCCTTGTGCCCCACTGTAGCTTGCACAATCCTCCAAGACAGCACTCCAATTATGGAACAAGTATTTGTTTTTCTGCCTACCTTTCTACAAGATTGAGAGCCCTATAATACCATGTGATCTATTCATTCAACAAATGAATACGAAGCCAGGCTCTGGTGTAGGCCCTTGGGACACATCAGTGAACAAAACAGTTTATATCTGAACAGTTACTTACTCCTCAGGGCCAAGATCAGAAAGGAGGTGAGATGGCAAAAGGGAAAACTACAACTCAAAACTTGTCATCTTTGAAGGACAAACCCATAATTCCTTTCTTGGAAGAGAAGCAGAAGTAAGACAGTACAGTGCCAAGGGACTCTCCATTTGAAGATGCCAGAGGCAACTGCATCTTTTCTAACAACTGAGAGCCATGGGAATGTTGCTGAGACACGTC